CCTAAGAAGTTTGTTGCCGATTCCCAGAATAACTACTAAGCCACAGCTTCGTGACCGGAGTTTTTGTTACAAAAGTTGATAGTTAATATTTTGTTATTTTATATTCTGTCGACACTCCTACGTACGTAACGGATGTGAGATAAGAAGGACGATGCAGATCAAGCAAGTAGTCAAACTCAACGTCTGCTAAGGGCAGCTTAAAAGGATATGATCTTTTCGGGGACCGTCACATGGGTGGAGAAAATCATTACCGCCTACTTTTACCCTTTCCAAGCCAAAAACTCGAGGTTTATTTTCGTTCTCTCTGTTTAAACAAGCACGCGTGTGTTAATTTCGTTTGAACATTTCCACTATATTTAATTACAACATAAAACAGCGGTACACAAGTCGCTATTTTCACACTCTGATTCTTTACGGTCGATTTTAATATCGTCCTCCAATACAGGCCGAAGAAAAAATAACACGAACTCCGAAACGTCGTTTTACGTTTTATATTTACTAGACGATGGATAATATCCAAGTAAATTTTTATTCAATCAATCATTTTTCTTCTATAGTCATGATGTTTATACTGTATTAATGTGTGGCTTATTTAACTAAGCTGTCAGTTGCTCAGAGTACATAACGCCGGATAATAATTAATAAATTGTAAAGGATATGAAAGGAAGGTGTCGTAGCCAAATTTAATGTGCTATCCCGATATTATCTTGGAGGGACTGAGGAAATCCAAGAGAAACCAGCCGGTCTCCGGATCGATGTTTGAGCCCGGAATGAGGAGTCTTAATCACTTGGCTACATTCCGTACTGTACAGACACATAAAACAAAAGACTTGAAGGAATCGAATTTTGCTTTAATATTACGTCTCTATTATTGCTCGTACTTTAAACACTGTTGAGAGAAATGAAAACGTCGGTGACATGTAACTGGTATAATCCCGGACTTCAAGGTGTGTACTTTGTTAAAGTAAGCTTTGTGCCTTGAATGGCGTGACGTTGACTAGTCGGACGGAATCAGAGAGAATTTCTTGTGTCTTAAACTTGGCACCATCGAGATTGATGGTGACATCTGAGATCTGACTGCTGAGAAAGAAGTCTTCACTGTTCTCTCTGAAAGCGGAGAAGTTACGCAGGATTTTAAATTGATACTTGTACAATAAAACTCGCTCAACGCTCTCCTTACAATAAATTCGTCTCCTGTGACCCTATGTGTCTTCGTCTGATAATACGTGAATTTATTTAAACTAGAAAAGCTGCAATGATAAACAATGATATGTAATTAACTAAACGACGTAAATATTTACACCGAGAGGAAGTTCTGTGATCAGACTGTGTATTTTATGTATTTTTGTACAATATTTTGTTTAATAGGTGTGTACATACACAAATCAATATCACGAACACTCCGTTACTTTTAAATAGTACGTAATCGCATTAAGGCACAAAGCGATTACATATAGACTGTATAAGAATATTGCAAGTCCCGATGAATTTCATACATGCGTTATTTTATTATGCAGGTGGGAAACTAACAATAGTGACTGAATCGGTGGAATTCGGCCCCGACTTCTGGAAAACAGCTGAGTACTCCAAGAACCCCACATACCTTACTGATGTCGGTAAGTTCGATCTCACAGTAATGTTTACCACTTTCACTGTGTACTGAAACGTTTTCCATATGGTGGTCCGTGACATAATGTTGTATTTTCCTGATATATTATAAACGATTTCTCTATAAACATCTCCCAAAACTTTGTGGTTTACATATTACAGTGTTCATAACACAAACTTAAAAGGGTTCTGGGGTTCCAGTGGAATGATGTTCACATTGAGTTTAAAAAAAGATTAGTTTTCTGCTGACGGGACCAGGTTATTTCGTGACGAGTCTAACTGCAGCATGACAGGTTATATCGCCACGAACTGCACAGTGACCTACCTCAATGGTAATATTTGTAACATTACGACGGCTTTATTGTGCCGTAAAGCTGGAGAAGCTTTTGCGTGGGGAACGCACATTTGGCGGCATGTTTATTTAAAGGAGCCTCAGACCCATAAACACCTGTTCTATTCTTCAATAGACGTTGACAGATGTATTCAAATGTTGAATGGTTTATCCTTCGACTTTATTTTAAACTATGTAACAAATATGATTTGTGTACAGAATATTTGTATTAATCAGCTGTGTATTTTTTCACATGTAAATGTAATTTCACACGCAACAATATTGAGACCAAACTAAGTACCTATTACAAAACTGTACACGACGTCCGACTACAATAAAAATAGTAAAGCAATTCCATATTGCCATGAAACCACATAATCACAGTAGTTTTCATGTAAGTCTACCAAAAGTAACTCACTCTTAGACAAATATTTCACAGATAAAAAAACGGGTTTTGGGATATTCCCTACTCTTTTGGGATGAAATTCATCTATCATTGGGTTCGCCGTATGAGTGCGGCAACTTCTCCGACTCTGGCGTACCGCGTGTACTCTACTCAAGCTTACGTAAGGCTGACTACGAAATTTCAGTAGCTCTACGATGAGATTCATATCAGTTAACAAAATGTACTACTTACTCATTTCACAGGCATAAAACAAACAGAAAGCACGTTGTATTTCTGGGTTTTATATAGAAATATCGTATTCGTTAACACCTAAACGTTAACTTCCATTCTTTCCTTAGGCAAGAGAAGCGTATTGTTTATATAAGGTAAAACGTTCTTTGCAGAAACAACCCAAGTTTCTGCCTTTACAGAGATTTCAAAACCTGCATTGTCTCTTTGAGTCTTTCATGAATGAAACACTGCAGTTATTAATCCTTGATATGGAATCTGTCTCTTTACAACTTCCCGTATCGGCTGTTAAAGGACAGAATAACGTGCAATATATTGCAAAAATATATAAACACACTTATAAGTCAAAAAGCTTCAGATGGGATGATAATGTACCACGCATGAGTAACATGAGACATACATACAGAATTTTAATTAGGAAACCGTATGAGACCACTTTGGAGATGAATAGGTTTTGAAGGAGAATAGTATTACAATCTTTAAGAAATAAGGCGCGACAGTGTGCACTGGATTCACCCGGCTCAGGGAGGGGTCTATCCTTGGCGGGCTCTTGTGAACACGGTAATGAACCTTCGGGTTCCATAAATCACAGTATCTTATTGACCAGCTATGCAAGCATTAAAGAACCATGTTCCATGAGACTGGTTACAAGTTGATGCGAACAACTCATCTCATTCCACGTTATGTAACATCTAACTAATTCAATCCATGGAGCAGATTCTTTAGTGGAAACCTAATAGTCGCTCAGCCAGTCAAAACATTCCCCGCCTCTTATGAGACCTAAAGGTTCGTTGCTGTTTCCACAGGGGCCCCCCAGTGATTTCTGTCTTAAGCCAGATACATCAACCACGCAAGTGCCTTCCAAATTTCTTTATGGCCTATTCTAATACATCTTCCTCCGTGCATATAGATCTTCTAATTCTATATAATCTATGCTGTTAAAATAACAAACAATTAAAACAGACAACAAATATGTGAAAATGCAATGATTTCTGTCTATTGCAAATGTATTTTTAAACAATTTATATGCGAATAAGAAAGAATTTGTAGGAATAACAATAGAAAACACCAATAAGATGAGAAATTGCGTTAAGGTCTGACCTTCATGAATGTTGGCGGTTGTATTTAATTAATTACGGTCCTTTTCATTGAAAGTGTTTCTGTGTTTTAATTATTTGGCAGTTGCACTGTTCATAAGACTTTAACACGATCAGAGCACTTAGCTCAGCAATTTGATAGCATCCTGTCCGACTTTAGCTCTTCCGGGAACAGTCTAAGCTGATCGAGATTTTCCATTATCCCTTCCATGGGAAATCTTTTCCCATCTGCCATTCCAGGCGAAATTTCTTTCCAGTCAGGATATACAATGACTATTCTGGTGCTTGATGCTTCCAGTTAGGCAAGTATTTTACCAGCAGGCACCTGAGTAAAACTAAGGTAGAAATGGACAATAAGTGGTTCAAATTTTAGTAGTCAGACAACGATGAAAAGCACGTTTTTGTTCAGAAGGCCAGCACAGAAATATGTCCCTACTTCAAACCCAACGTGTAATTGCTTTTCCAGCAATTCTTGGATTGTAATTAAATGTCAGTAAGCCATTATAGTCAGATTAATCATGTACTTTCATCCTTGATAACAAATCTTTTCATAAGGCTTACATCTCTCCACTCGAGTACACCTTTAACCTTTGGAAGATATTTAATTTCGTCAGATTAAATTTTCCTTGAGCACCACGCGTAACCTTGGTATGAAGGTGGAACGTGTCAGTCAAACATTTAAATGTACTTTTTTTGTTTATTCTTCTAATACAAATGTAAAAATATGCCCTATATGTGACAAATTCGCCAAAATAAGTATAAAGTACAGGTCATCTTCCTTAATATAAATATCAATTGGTCAATGCAGTTTAGTAAAATCATCGCTGTTTATTTCGAGAATCATACAAAACACATATATACACACTGTGGACACAATTAATAAGTTAATTAAATTCTAAAGCACATGTTACATTTAGTTAAAATTCTGGTTAGGTTTTAAATTTAACACACATCTAAACGTAAAGATAAAGTTGTCCCAGTGCAACGCAAAGAAAGCGTGTGGTAGGAGGGAGGGGTGATAAGTGTCCACGCATTCTTCGGCACTAGATAGAAGTCGAAGTACAGCTTATATTTCTGGCAGTCTTACCCGCAGGTAAAGTGGCCTCAAGTATTTATTTAATAAAAGACTGTCTGGGCTGGTCTAGACGTGATGGATTCGATCCGGATAATTACTAAATGTACTCATCGTATGTTTTATTCAAGATTCTGTACGAACACAAAACAATCGGTCTGATTAATACTGAATCCAACTAATGATGACGATAATCCATTGAAACACAAGTCTGCTAGGATCACTTCACCAGTGTATGGCTGCTTTGATATTACGCTTAAGATTTTAGTAGTTGCAGTAAAATTTTACTACTGGGAAGGAGGCGTATTGCAGCCAGTCTTTCGCGCATTATTCATGACTACTTGTGCTTAAGGTTACAGTCCTTCAGAACGGTTCTTACTTATTGAGTACTTCAGGGAAGAAAGTAGGTCAGACCTGTGCTTGTATTTACAGTTCTGTAAGGTCTTTGACAAAAATAGATTCCAAACACTGATTAAGTAAAAGGAATCAGTCTGTACAGTAGTGCATCGATTTTAGGCCGGACTCCTTTGGAGTACTGTAAATATTTCCACTTGGTATTTCCGCATTTAGCTCAAGTGAATCAGGATGCGACCGGATTCGGCCTGACACTCAGATTTCAAAGGAAGGAATTCCGTTTAAAAATTAAATAGAAATCCACCAACTTAAATTTCATGAGCGTTTACAATTAAACTACAAAAACTTGTACTCAGGTCCGTTTCAGGAGGGAGCGGTTGATGGACTTCACTACATTCGTTACTCATGACTGTCAGCACACTGAACAAATCAAAAATTTCTCCACGGCTATCATTAATGTAGATATCCAATCTAAAATGTTACCCAGATCTGTTTTGGACATCACGTACTGCAAACATGCAAAGATTAATTTCATTAACTTCGCGAAAGGGCGAATGAAACTGGGTTTTACTTTCTTTCATTTTAGCTCACGTTCTCGTCACGTGTTTAACCATACCTTCGATCTGCCAAGGTGCGATGTCTCCTTGTAGTATTTATATTAAGATCTCGTATTGGACTATTTTAAGAACTGATGTCGTAAGCTTGAACTCATTACGTTAGCAGATGTAATTGTTTGAGTCTTCCACCGGACATTAGCTGTGTCATACCGCTGTGATAGACACGCAGACAGTGACAATCACGGATAAGGTATATTTGGTTACTTCTTGTTTTATGCATGCGAAATTAGAACTGCATCATGAGATCTTAACTAGTGTTACAAATTAATATGATGATAATAGTTTTATTATAACAAATGCATGGAAGCAATATTCCCACATAATAAAGTTTTATGTTGATTACCGTTGGTCTTCTGTATCGCAGTGGGCTAGCGACGTATTTAAGAAACCACTAACTAATTAACAAACTCCGTGCAGCAGAGTTCTTCTAGTGAAGCTAACAGACACCCAGCTGATCAAGAAATGTCGTGCCTTTTATGGAACACCGTGTTCACAACAGCCCGTCACTTGTCTCTGTACTCAGCCAGACGAATCCAATCCACACTCTGTTTCATGTCTTTAAGATCAATTTTAAAATTATTCTCTTATCTACGCTTAGGTCTCCAACTGAGTTCTTCCCTTAAAATATTCGAACTAAATACTTTTCTAATTTTAAAAAAACAATCCTTTCTAAATATAACCAATTTTGAAGTCCTGTTTCTAAAATGAAGTCAAGCATTTTAAGCTAATTTTCTTTATTTTGAGGCAGACAAATATTAATTTTAATATAAACAAAGGCAAGATACATCTTCATTTTAAAGCCTCATTCTGACGTAAATATTACGATATTAAGAGTGGAATATTTATGACTGTGTGCCTGTTATGCGTGAATTAGGCTGTTATAAGAATTGCCAAAGTAACTTGTGGTTTGCATTTCTGACCATAAAATTACTGCGTCCTACATCTTTTAACAACTGTCACGAACCACAATGCTTCAGTGTGTAGTTCTTGGTGGTTATTATTGGCAGGAGTGGAAGTTTATTAATTTATTTAGAGGTAAAAATGGAAAACTACAGATACTCTACCGGTCCCCAGTTAAATACTGTTTTAAAATAATACGCCATATACCCGCGAGTTTCACTAGTAACATTAAATATCTTAAAAGTGGTAACAATTCCTGCCCGGGTTCTCTTCCTGACCTTAAAATGCAATCATGAAACTTCTAAATATTTTTAATGCAACATGTCATTCCTCGATTCCGAAGCGTCTGTCTGCGTAAAGGCGTCATTGGCCAAGTTCTCATTCTTCGCATGAGCTTCTACATAAATGTGACCCTCCTCATATGCAGATAACGTTTGGTTTGTGTTGTCTTATTTTGGGCTAGTTTCATTTGTCTTGAGCATTACGGAGGGAGTGATTATTCTGAACTACAATTTACACGGTGGGTAAGAATCATGCAAGAATTATTCCATGTGGCGACTGATAATAGAGACGTTTCCTGGAAAAAGGTAAATATGTGAAAATGGTGAATAAGGCTAATGCATCCTAGTCACAAATAATAAAAGAGTGAGACCCATTTTGGACTATATGTATATTACAAACATTTTTCTTGCAATTTCATAGTCATTGATTTTGAACTTTATTTACTGCAAATGAAAATCCATTATTGCAAATCTAGCAATATGCACTGTTTTGTATTGTATTTTAAACACAACACACGAAATGAACATAATCTACCCACGAACAAATTATGAATAGTGTGATGGCAAGAGAATGTGGCGAGGATGGAATTGGTGGACGATCTCCACAAAGGGCCCAGTCGAGTTCCTTAGCCCACAGGGATTGTTCCCCTTGCCACAAATGTAATGGACAGCTTAAAATAATGTTAATGGTTTCTGCACACGCGATATTGCAATAGGATGACATGCTACATGAACATTTGTCTGAATCCCAGTATAATCGTGTGACATCAAAAGGAATTTTTACGACCTTATTTTCGTATTTCAGCATTCGTCACCAGTTATATTTGTTTCCTTACATGAAAGACTCGTATGAAAATCTTGTGTTTGCCCGAACTGGTGTGTAGCTCCCTCCCACATTTTAATTTGTAACTCCGTTTCCTTCTTCTGTAAAATGAAATCAAGGTATCAAGCACAGGACAAGCCTACAAATTACTTTCCTGTTACTGTAAATTTTTCACTTTAAATTCTAATTAAAGATTAGTTTGCACGATTTGGTTTATTTCGACTGATGTTCACACTTCAACTGTCAAATGATTACTATAGAATTCAGCCCTAGGAAATTTATTTACAAAGGTATCTGATATTTTACAATATGTATACAACAGTACAAATGGAACTTACTTATAGGACAGGAATATTGAATGTGATCTCCTTATGGCTTATTTAAGAAATAAAATAACCACGTACGATTCCCACGACTGGAAAATAGAAAGGTAGACTGATTTTTATGAACATTGAAAATTTTGCCAAAAAATATAATGCAAGATAAGGAAATATGTAAATCTATTACCATCAGCAATTAATATGCGTATAACAATACGTGGATTCTGTATTAACTCCACGAACGCTTTGGAAAGGAAGCAAGGAATAGATTAAGAAATAAAGAAAGAACTTTGGAGGAAGAAATAAACGAGCTTAAATAAATACATAGGAAAAACTGAAACGAGAAACAGTAATCAGGGTTTGCAACTACTACCCCCCTCACATTCCCAAAACATGTAAATTTCGCGATAAATCATAGCACTGTGAGAAGCGATGCCAGTCGCTTCACGTGCTCTGCAGGAAAGAGCATCTGAGCGAGTCTTATTCATCGATTCGCACTGCCAAATTAACCTTCATTGTTGTCCTCTCCTCGTTCGCTGTCATCCGCTGCGATTACGTTACGAACCGTGGGTCTGGGAAAACCCAGGAAATACAAAGGACTCCAGATTGAGGAAAATCATTTTGTTTAGTGTTAACAGTTTTATGAAGATAACAGATTTCACAGAAATTATTAGATTATTGATTATCAGTTACGGAGTGCAGAGTACCATTCGGCTGTCTTCAATAATATTTCAACTTTGTACTAAATTTAAAATAATTTTGGGGGGAAACTGGCCTAGAATGACTTACTATAAGTATAAATCGGTTTAACACGTCACTAACCACATGCTTTCTTTAATGTTTGGAGTGTGAATAAATGTTTGTTACATACGCAACTACCATTTTAAAGAAACAAATATTATCAAAATTCCCGCAGTTTTACCAAAGCTCCGAGTAAAATGACATACGTACATTCTTCTCACAACTGTAACTGACAATGGGGGGTTCTCGGCTCAGCAGTTAACAAATTCTACACTATAAAGGCTATCATGTTGTGACCTTGAACTTGGAAATGAACACATAAAGAAGGATGAGATGAACAGGGCATGTATGAGAGACAAGAAATACATAAGAAATTTTAGTAGGAACACCTGAAGGGAAGATTCCACTTGGGAGATTTAGAAGAATATGGAAGGATAATATTAAGAAGGCTCATAAAGATAGTGAGAGGGTATGGACTGGATTCATCTGGCTCAGGATAAGGGACAATGACAGGCTTTTATAAATATAATGAATTGCCTACTCAAATCAGAACAGTTTTGTACTCTTGTTGTTGTCAATGTCATCATTGTCACTATTATCATAATTTCTTTTGGAAAGTACATTTTATTTAAATATAGATATTACTTTAAATTTGTTAGATATAACCTTCAAGTTTTACACCATCACCAACAATATTTCATACATTATTTAAAGGAAAGTTTGTAACCTATTTTCATATAAAATTTCTATAGGGAGGAAAAAATTACATTTTGTTTGAGATACATAAACCCTAATTTAAAAACTAAGAGACATTAATTGTAACTCTTGTTTGCCAAACTCAGTTCAGATTAGGACTATATTATTTCAGATGGTGAGGGGCAATTACATGAGGAGTGTCCCCATCCGCCGCCTGCGTCATCCCCTTGAAGAAAGCCCACTTTGGGGGGTTCTGGGAAGTGTCTTTGCTGGAGTCCTGGCACTTGTAGTGGGTCTTCCAGTACTTCTTGCAATATGCATCTTGATACCTTTCTGCCTGCTTGGTCGATGGCTACTGCTTATCATCTTCTGGAACCAACAGACATCTGCAGCTACACAAGGTACCATGAGAACAGCAAATCTCACTGAATACAATCTAGTTTTCATGTCTAAGGTAACCCTTCACTTTATGGACAATATTCTTAAACTCACTGATCTTGATCTGCAATTTTACTTTGTGCACCTCTGTGCCAGAGTGACTATATATTTTGAAAAATGTTAAATGATTTCCATCTTTCCTCTACTGAAGTGTAATAAAAGCATTCAGTTCAAAGCTGACAGTCTCGCATTTAAACAGTTTCTGCAGAGGATGGGACACCATCATAACATACTTACTTTTGTATTTTTAGGTGGTGCACCTGAATCTGTAAGGGGAAATGACGGTCGGTGGCTTGGTTCAGCGTGGCGATACTCCGTCATACATGCAGTGCTGATATTTGAAGCAGGAGCAGGCTTAGATGTTTCTCATCTCCAGAACCTTCTTCTGACAAGAGTAGTCCCTCTCTACCCTCGGCTCACAAGACGACCTGTCCCACTGCCGTTGTCTGCAGGTATATATGCTTGGAAATATACACACAAATTCATATAAATTTTCAAGCACAGAAACTTTCAAAATGTTACATTTGCATATTTAGTCAATGAAAATTAATTTATTTGTGCACATCAAAATTATCGCTCAAGTTATGTTATTGTTTCAAAGAAATTACAATATTCATCAACACTGTAGTTCATACTTTTTAATTTTTAAAAATATCTGAATAAGTAACATAATTTACTTGTTTCATGAAAGGTATAATGATAGCACAACATTCCATCACGGAAGTAATTTAATTTTATCTGCGATATTTGTGTATTCAAGATTATTGTAACCTCTAAACATAATTTCATTTATATGTTAATTCCAAACTTATTTTCATAAATAATCTGAAATTTCTCTAACATTAAATTTAAGAAACTGCTATCATCCATGGAACCCACATGTTCCTTTATGTTCTTCATGTGCAATATCCACACAACCTTATAGAACCAAATTCAAATGATGTTAGTTGGTAACAGTAGCCTATAAAACATACTTCGTACTTAAGTTTTCCAATAGTATCTGATAAAACTTACATTCAACACAACTACCTATGTAGTGCAGCAAAATAAAATGCTTATGAAAAGTAAACTTAAGAAATGGGCATGTTTTTGTTTTTGTTATTATTATTATTGTTGTTGTTGTTATTATTCCATCTATTCACCACTTTATAGGGTATTTACTTCTATGTACTCAAGACAAACCTTGCCCCTGACGTGCACAGTGCAACAGCTGTTTTCAAAATACATTTTGTTTTATTATTATTTGTACATGTGAATCAATTAGCAAACACAGTCAGTATGCTTAGGAGCAGGTCACTGCTGGCTGCCAGACTCGCACTTCTGCATTGATCGTCATGTGTTTGCGGGCCCATCTAAGCTGACTACAGAGAAGCACCTACAGGACTATGTAGGATACCTCCTAGGAGAAGGACTTTCTAATGACAAACCTCCATGGGAACTGCACGTTCTGCAGAGTGTTGGCTGTCATCAGGACACAGTCGTAGTGCTCCGTGTGCATCAAAGTGTTGCAGATGGCATGGCTCTTGTTCGTGTCCTATGCCATTCCCTTGCTGACTGCCAGGTGCTACATGTTCCTCAGGCAAGACATCCAGTCATGTGATAATGTTCAATTTCCATTAATTACAGTTAGTCAGGCACTACATCCCAATTATGTTGGATACTGTCCACTGTTTGCGGTAAATTTAACATACAGCAATGTTTCAGGAGTTGGATCTACCTCCATCTTCAGGTGAAACGTTATTATTATACTGAACATTATGTTTCTACAAGTGACTGGGATTGAAACGAGAAGCCTAAAACATTGTGTATATCAGAAATTGACAATATGCAGCACACTTAATAGTTTAGAAACCACTAGAGAACCATTATGGTTGAAAATCATCTTTATGCATCTGCAAAAAAAAAGACTAGAAAGAATAAAGAATGCAATTTAGAAACTGTTTGAAGAGGCAACTCAAAAGAGCTGCAGATTAACATTTATATGATATAAGTAAGTAGTATGGGCCATATGGAATTTACTTCTTGTTTGTGAACATAAATCACAATAGCCCCTATAAATTCACAGTTTTCATACCAGTACAGAGATTGAGGAAACCTAAAAACACAATGCCAAGGCTAATATTTGGAACTCGCAAGAGATTAGGAGCAACAGCCTAGCAGACATTTGTTTAAGAACAGTAACAAATCATATTCTCTAAGAGAGAATTTCTAATTGAACAAATAATGTTGAATGATGGCTCTGCACAAGTAAGTTGGTTTTATGCTGGTACAACTTACCATATAAAAGTATATTGTAATACAAATAGTGTTTTATTACAGAGGCCACATTTTGGTGCACTGGCATTCACCCTTAACATATTTCGAGCCTGTCTTGTTGGGCCACTCACTCTCCTCTTCTGGCTTCTGCTCACAACTGAGGACTGTAATGCACTGACCCAACGTAAGGGTTGGGCTGGCCAAGTCTCTGTCACTTGGTCAGCTGCCATCACACTCCCAAAAGTGAATCGCATTAAGCAGGTCACCAGGTCCACAGTAAATTGTGTGTTGCTGTCAGCTCTAGCAGGAGCCATTAGGAGGCTACTACAAGGCTGCGGAGTCAAACAGCCACCAGACTTGAAGGTGACAGCATTAATGTACTGTAAGACAAACCACGAGTTTCATTCTAAATCACTGACTGCAAATGAAGTGCTCGCAATTCCAAGAGCACTTATGTGGTCAAAGTTCATCTGAACAAAGTTAACAGTTTACTGATGATATTTGTCAGTGTTCCTCTATCAAAACATATATTACTATAATGTGCATTCCCAACTAACCAGCTGGAATGTTTTAACGTTCTTGATGATGGTGTGATATATTGTGTTAAATTGTTGTTCCGGAATTTGTCCATTGTCTACATGTTGATAAAACCACAACGTTTTGGAAGTTCATTCTACTTCTATTGTCAGTGAAGGAAAACAAAGAAACTATCAGTTAGGCCCCCTAGTCTAACTAGTCAAGCTGAGACTAGCTCAGTTTAAGTCCTCTAAATCTTTCCTCAGTTTATGTATATCTTCACTGAGAAATATCATAAAGATCTTCTGTGGGTGCAAGTATGTCTGTCACACCAGTATCATGCCATTCTTCTTCACATGGTACTATCAACATCAATCTAACACACACATTTACTTTCATAAATTTTCTTCTCTGGTTGTAGATTGTGTTACCAGTTGATCTACGAGCTGATGTGACATCTCCTCATCAGAGTTCTCGTTTAGGGAGTAAGGTGGCACCCGTCGTGGTAGGTTTGCCAGTCGGTGTTGAAGGCGCAGTGCCTCGGCTCTGGGCCATGAGAAGAAATCTTGATTCTCTCAGAACATCTGCAGATCCAGTGGTAGTGTATGTAGCCACTGCTGCTCTAATGGCTTCTGTTCCAGGCAAGGTGGCTAGAGAAGTGCTTTCATCTCTCACTGGCAAAGCTACTTTGCAGGTAAATTTACGAAGGGAAACATGCCACCCCATATTTGAAGTTTCTTTACCAGTAACCATAACATCTGTGCAAACCTCTGAGGTATGAAGAAATATTAGAATTATGTAATGTATTGAACATTCATGTGGCAGCATATGGTAACTTAAAAAAATATGAAACTTTTCATAAGATTATCTGTTTGTAGAATGTAAAATAATAACATAACAAATATTGGAAAACTAATTAAGTTTTAATTTTTATAACAGTAGCTGATGGACCACTGTAGCCATTTACTAAATTTGATAGTGTTCTATATATAAATAATGAAAGAATGACTGATGATAGAATAACAAAAAATAGTTTAAAATATTAACCTAGAAGAACAACAATCTTCTGAAGACATCTATAGAGATAAAATTATTTAACTTTATAATAACCAGAATATGGAATGTTATGGGGAAAAAGAGAATGATAATGGTGGTAGTGGTGAAGATGATGATGATGAAGATGATACAAAGTGTGGTAAGGGTGAAACTGGCAGAACTGACTGCTGTGGTGAAACCGTGTTCTCACATGGCTGAATCCTGGAATCAAAGTAATATGATTGCAGTTTAGCTCATTACCGGGACCAACATCCACACTACTGGTTGGTGGACATCCTCTTAAGGGAGTGTATCCACTGTTGCCAGCACAGAACAGTTTGGGGCTTGCAGTGTCAGTCTTCACATATGCTGACCAGGTGTATGTGGCCATCATATCAGACAGTACCCTTGGTCCAGCTGCCAGCACACTGCTACATCATCTTCACTGTCAAGTGAGTGGATTTCTACAGATTAATAAAAAATGCTGATTAAGTGGACGTCACCTAGATGACGATGACGATGATGATGATCTGGGTTCTGACACTATGCAGATTTGTAGGCAGATACCAGTGTTTCAGAGAAATAGACTGTCTTTGTCTCCAGACCTAAAGTAGTGGTCTCTTGGGTTGACACCATGCAGTCTGCACATTTTACCAATGTTCCTTTTGACATCCTGGTAACCACCTACAAGGCTTCAAAATAGAGAAGTGCTTTCATCTCTCACTGGCAAAGCTACTTTGCAGGTAAATTTACGAAGGGAAACATGCCACCCCATATTTGAAGTTTCTTTACCAGTAACCATAACATCTGTGCAAACCTCTGAGGTATGAAGAAATATTAGAATTATGTAATGTATTGAACATTCATGTGGCAGCATATGGTAACTTAAAAAAATATGAAACTTTTCATAAGATTATCTGTTTGTAGAATGTAAAATAATAACATAACAAATATTGGAAAACTAATTAAGTTTTAATTTTTATAACAGTAGCTGATGGACCACTGTAGCCATTTACTAAATTTGATAGTGTTCTATATATAAATAATGAAAGAATGACTGATGATAGAATAACAAAAAATAGTTTAAAATATTAACCTAGAAGAACAACAATCTTCTGAAGACATCTATAGAGATAAAATTATTTAACTTTATAATAACCAGAATATGGAATGTTATGGGGAAAAAGAGAATGATAATGGTGGTAGTGGTGAAGATGATGATGATGAAGATGATACAAAGTGTGGTAAGGGTGAAACTGGCAGAACTGACTGCTGTGGTGAAACCGTGTTCTCACATGGCTGAATCCTGGAATCAAAGTAATATGATTGCAGTTTAGCTCATTACCGGGACCAACATCCACACTACTGGTTGGTGGACATCCTCTTAAGGGAGTGTATCCACTGTTGCCAGCACAGAACAGTTTGGGGCTTGCAGTGTCAGTCTTCACATATGCTGACCAGGTGTATGTGGCCATCATATCAGACAGTACCCTTGGTCCAGCTGCCAGCACACTGCTACATCATCTTCACTGTCAAGTGAGTGGATTTCTACAGATTAATAAAAAATGCTGATTAAGTGGACGTCACCTAGATGACGATGACGATGATGATGATCTGGGTTCTGACACTATGCAGATTTGTAGGCAGATACCAGTGTTTCAGAGAAATAGACTGTCTTTGTCTCCAGACCTAAAGTAGTGGTCTCTTGGGTTGACACCATGCAGTCTGCACATTTTACCAATGTTCCTTTTGACATCCTGGTAACCACCTACAAGGCTTCAAAACCCAGAATACCACAATCCACATTTTTACCACCTTGAAAACCTCAAATCTCATTACTAATCAATCATAACCTTTTACAAATGTGCTAAACAGTAAGGCCAACATGAGCTGATGTCTTACTTAATAATTCATTAGTATAGATCTCACCAAAAATTGTGAAATATTTCTCTATCACAGTGACATGGGGTCTCAAAGTGCAACATTAGACTTATACAGTTTCTCTTATTATGGACTACCCCTACTGTTGACAGTATTCATAGCAGGAAAAGCCTCTGGTAGAAACCCATGTATGGAAATAAATACTGAATATTTCAAAAGGAAACACTGAAAATAACACTAAATTCTTCAACTGCTTTATGAACTTCCTCATTTAGGATTTTACTTGTACACTGAGGAAAAACTGGGGCAAAAATTATATAAAAGTGACAAACAAATTGATTGTTATGATATTTAACTTTTTGCTGTACCATTTAAATGCACTGTGTTCTGACATTATCAGAAAATTTAATTTAAAAACTATCTACACTATATAATGTAGTATTAACTAGGAATATTTAATTTTAGTGTCCTATTATGTTACCAGTTCTAAACACAGTAATCAGTGATTGCAGATAGAAATTAATCACATTTATTTATATCCAATATCACAAGACCTTCTGTAACAGTTTTCTCTGAATGAGTTGTAATTATCCTTCCTCCAACTATTTCTGTAAAATGTAACAATTACCAACTGATCTCACATGAATCTTCAAATTCCAGACTGAATATGTTATAAGTATCTGGTGATCCTTTTCTCTCATCTTCATGGTAGTTTACCCCTCCTTATGGCATTTACTTAAAAAAAATCAACATTACATCAAAGCAAATCTTCAGGTCTTACAAAACTTTCTTTTCGTTACAGATTGAACTGCTATGGCAATTACTTCTGCACAGACGTGTACCAGGAGAATCTAGATCCCATGTTGTTCTCCGGCGAACTGGTGTTACAGGCTCGCCTGTACGAGAGGTACATCTCTATCTGAATGAAAATCACTTACAAGACAAAAGACTTTTTAATTTCCTACACAAAAACAAAAAACAGTAAACAAGTGAATGAAATTATCAGGTATTCTTAGAATACTGTGAGGAATGAAAACTCTTACTTTTTTTGGTAATATCTTCACAAAGCCATTTGTTCTTTCTTCTGTTTCCTTTTGTATTTGTTTCCAATTCATTCCAATTTTCCAGACATCCATTTTCATATTGTCATAACACACTGCGCTGTCTCTCATTACTCACTAGGTCATTTTATTTAGTTTCATGCTTAACACTGCCCTTGATGTTGCCATATTACATTAACACACCAAAGTTTGCCATCATACACCCATTGTATGTTTTCAAGTTGTAATCGGGCTTTACCAAAGCCAAATTTGGTAAATATTTTCCAGGGATCTTATCAGATGTCACAATCGTGTATCACCATGACCAGCACTGTTCATTATATACTAGCTACAACACTAATGGACATCTTCATTATCTGATACATAAATAAAGTTTTTAACTTGTTCCATTTCAGTTACGCCTTCGATTAACATGTGTCCAGGAAGAAGTACAGCGTCTTCAAACATGCCAAAGCCCTAGCCAGCAGCAAAATGGTCAAAGTTCAGAATCATCAGAAACAGAACAGCAGGATGCAACACATCTTCAGAATCTCAAAACTGAGTTCTCAGAATTACTGTCTGAGTTGCACAGACGGAACTCAGCAGCAGTTGGAGGCAACTCACCTCTCTTTGAAGTTAGTATAAAAAGTTTATATACTATTTAGCAGAATTATTCAGTGAGGACTTACTTCATATTACCATATGCAGCTTCCCAAAGTATATTCTGCATTTTAATTTACTGAACTCATCATTGTGGTTCCTCCAGCATAACAATTAGTTGTGGGGTAATAACCTGTTAACAGATACATACAGTTTAATAATACATGTGCAATTACCATTCTATTCCACTGTTATTATTGATGTTTCTTGCTTAAGTTATTTCAAATTTATAAATATGTTATGAATATTATCATACAATGCTTTAAAATAGAACAATAGTTTGCAGGAATTTCATACCAAACTTATAATTTTCAGGCATTTTACAATGCAGCATTAAATACATATTACTTTAATTTGTAATGGGCTTTTTTACTGGATTTACCATGCTCCTGATAAACTAAATATTATTATTAGATGAGAACAGAAACAAATTCACAGAAATAATTATGAAATAGCAATATGTGAACTGGTCATTCTTCCTTCTCAAGGAACAGTTTATTGACAAAATGGTAAATAAGTCAGTAATTAATGTGGTTAAATTGTTTTTACACACTGTCATTACTGCTGCTGCAACTGTCCTTGCATAAGGATTGTATGCTGAATGTAGAAAATGTGTTAATCCAAATGACAACAAACAACTTTCCTTCCTTTCTAACAAAGGACTTCATGAAAACATTAACTGTGGCATGTTTCTGTTTTGTTGAAGGATGAAGAGGTAGGAGGCGAGTTATGGCGTCCAAGGCGTAGAGCCATGTCCTGCTCTTCGTCCCGTCATTCCAGTCGTTCATTAGTGGGACTTCTGTCAACTGCAAGACCTGCCAGTTTTATAGAATCATATTCTGGTAGAAGTCCGACAAATCCTTCCAGCCCTATTGCATACAGACCTACAACAAGTGAACACATTCTCCCGGGCTCCACTAGGCCTGCCAGCTACACAGACCCACATTCAAATTCAAGTCCTATTGGTCAAGCTGTTCCTCTTTTGTGCAGAGCTGCAGCAAGTGAATGTACATTGCCAGGTACTGTCGGTTCAATCAGCCCTGAAGAACTCCTTTGCAATAAAGACAACCCAGTGAGCCAAATCAAACACGTACCACCAACAGTCAGCCATCTACTGCATCACTCCACTTTCTGTAGTGAAAATATTACAGTTATTTCAGAACATCCATCAGAAGTAAGAAACTGTGAGGACAACATGTCAACGTTATCTGTCAGTACAGTCAAGTCTTGCATTAAACTAAACTCTTCAAATATTGATACTACAAGTACTGTGCTTCAAAATAAATACCTTGGTAATGATAGAGGAATTGAGAACTGTGAAGCAGCTACTGAAATTGAAGATATTACTAGCAGCAGAGGAGCTGAAATAGACGTACATATATCTTCATATATTTCTCCAAATTTATCCAATTCAGATGGCACAACTATTATAGAAATTGCTCAGAACCCTTTAACATCTCATAATGTTAGTCAAACTTCTGGTGTCAAATCTTCAATAGAACTAAACATATTAAGTAATGATGATATGTCTTATTCCACATATCTTACCAGGAATCAGGATAAACTAAGCTCTAATAAATCAATCATTGTTACTTATCCACAGTATTCTCCAACAATATCACCAGAACATAATACTGTGAAATATTTAAAAGATTCTATGAAGTCCATACAATCAAATGGTGCACAATCCATGCCAACTGCCAATGATAAGAACAACAAAGGCAATACAGTAATAGATATACAAGAACAACAATCCTGTTCAGACAATACTTTTGCTCAACATGTATCCTGCAATGAATCGAATGCCATAAGAGTGATAAAATCTAAATACCCTAGATCAGCTACACTGAAGGGACAAATAGATGACAAAGATAAAAACAGTTTAGTCAGTGATACTGTACATTCAACTGATCTGACATGCAATATAAGTCCCTTAACAGATACTAATGTACAATATTCACCTCCATGCCTACACGTCAAAACAGAAAACATCCAAAATCAAGAACCATGTTCAGCTGATGCTACCATAGGTCAAACTGTAATTGATTCTAATATCAGCACAATCAGATATCTCAACACAGACATATATATGCATTTGCACAAAGCAAATATACTTCATGGTCAAGTAAATGTTGAAAGTAACAGCCAGAAAGAAGTGAGACATCCCACCCTAAACAAAACAATGAATTCTGCATCAGTATCAAACACATTTCACCATTCACGAAACACGGGAAAACCATACATTCACAACAACCAAGACTGTGTAGCCACATTAGCCAGACCTTATAGACAAAACTGTGAAACTCCCCAGAATTCTGTTACAATAGATCACTGTAGGAGTGAAGAAGTCCCTGATGCTGAAACGTGTTCAGTTACTCCTGCTTTGACAATTCAGACCGATACCGTACAAAGCTCGAGTGTTTTGGAATCAGTATGCAGTCCATTGACTCCAATAAGCAATTCAACAGCAACTGGAGAACAGACAACTGGCTATCAAATAATGGAATCATCTGATACAAGTTTAACATTGTCGCTGGTTACTTCAGAATCTACACATAGCTCCATAAGCATTACATCCATATCATCTGGAAATACTATGAATTCTTCCAGCACATTTCCTCCAAGTGCAGCTGGAAGTCCAGTACATTCAGACTACACAAACAAAAAAGATTAATCAAAGATCAGTGAAACAAAAATATATTTATTTACTTACATTCATATAAAATTTGTATATATTCCAAAGTAACACGGTTCAAATGGAAATCTTTTCAAAATCTTCCTAAAATGTTTCCAATTTATGTGAGTTGTCTGAGCTGTAGTGGGAGCTACAGTTATGAATAAAATATTTCTGTTATACCAGTTCTGAAACTAATAATGATTATGGGATTAGAGTAATAAATTTGCCACATCAATAAAACCAAACTATCAAGAGTGCAATGTCTCCACATCGCTTGGGCTTGAGAAAATAGAGATAATAAAAAAATTTCAGCCGGACAGAATCTAACTTAGATTTACATTGAACTTACACATTTAACTGACTGCGTATTTAGTCACAAATGTGATTGGAAGTTTTTCAGGTGTATGACTCAATATAAGAAAGTGTTTGCACATTCATAATAGAGTACCATATTACTGTAGAGCAGAACAATACAAAGAAGAATACAAATAAAAGACTACACTAAAATGCACTACAGACGATGCAGTATTACAAATTAATAAGCTACAATATCACTGAAAAAGCAAGAAACTAAGCTTGTGAAGTAATTATAATTATGGATTTGAAACATTTTTCAACTATCTGAAACATAAGAGGAAGGAAGTAAATGATTGTCAATATACATGGCTTCCCACGCACTGCATAATTTATATGTTGTTGTTAACACTAGCACAACTGATTTAAAGATTTTTTAATGAAGAGTAAATTTGTGTTAAATTCACAATCTTGTATTTTCTGTTAGTTACATCCATATACTATATAAATTATCTTGGAGAGAATAGATGGGAAATTTTTAAATGTTAATTTAACATCTACCATTTCAAATCTGGAGAGTATGGCTCAACACTTGAATAAAACTCCTGATATGTCATTTTGTCTATACCAGTAATCAATATTAACATTAAGCCTTTGACAAGGACAATCTTACTGTCTATCTAAGATGGCTGTCTTTAAAGATACTAAGTAGTTTATCATCTTATCTGTGATTAATGTTCAAACTATCTATAAAAAAATTATTTACCTCTATGTACATAACTGTTAAAGAGGTTCATAAATTTGTGTGGTGTACACATTTATTACCAGTATGACTGTGTTAGTTTAACTAATACAGAAAACAGTCATGAAAAATGTCTGATTACCTACTAGAGTAATTTCTCTGGAATTACAAAAAACAAAGTAAAGCATTTCTTCAAATACAACAGTCTTCTAATATTTAATGTATCATTATGACAGTTTTCATGGATGCTTACTAGGATTTCAATATCACTCATTTCAGTGAACTTTGATATTCTGAGATGTCAGAAAGTACACATTATAAACACTTCCATATATAAGTATAGAGAATGAATAAAAATGATTAGGTTAGTATAAAAATTGTATGTTCTATTGGAATGTAATCTACATCAGGATATATCAAATTCTTCCTTACTCTTCATTCAGGTCTGCAGTCATGATTCTCTGCATCTACCAAGAGCTCCTTGTTTCCAACCATATCAGCTTTTCTTAACACCAGACTATAAAAGCTAGTCATCATATTCATGCCCTTCTTCTGATCTTCAGTGCCAAACTGTGAATATTAAAAGTTTATCCTGATATAAACAGTGCATTTTTGGGTTGGTACACGCTGTAATACAGTATTGGCACCCGTCCTTCAAAACATTTTACAGGAAATTTAAATTATATATAATTAACAACAACAATAATAATGAGGGGACCTTCAAAACAACATTGTATCTGTGGAAATAATGTCTCTTACTCTGTGTTATATTAATAGCAGAGAGAGAGTTAATTATATTTACTTACAAAATTATTCAGTATAAACAATGTTTTCATAACCCTTGTTTACATTACAAAACATTAAACAGTAACACACTTACCATACAGACATGCATCTTTGTAGGAAATCTTACATAATATCTATAATGAGGGAAGGCACTGTTTCATCTAATCCATCTGATATGATGATGGCTTCCTCTAGCTGTCGACGAATATTTTCATTGAGTGTGGAAGAATTATGATGGACTTCCATCAGTCCTTCTCCTTTTTCCACCTTTTCACCCTGCACATGCAGAAGTCTGATCCCCACTGCATAATCAATAGGTTCATCTGCCTTACTGCGTCCAGCTCCCAGTTTCCAAGCAGCTTTTGCCACCCCCAGTGAATCCAGTTTTGTTATAATTCCTGAAGCCCATATGAGAATCAAAAAAGCATACAAATTTAAACTTAGATAAAATGAAGCCTTTCAACAGCGCTTTGTCCCTAAACTTACTGAAAACTGATGTGTTAATGTTAACAGAACAGTGGTCCAACTTACACTGTAAACACAGCTAGTATAAGTTGTTCAAAGTGGCTCTGAGTGGTAAAGCACCAGTAGCATTTTGAAAATCATAACTCTGTGCCCACTTAAAAAGTGAAAAGCTTATTTACCATTTACAAATCAAAATTTGTAGTACTACTAACTTTAGCAGCAACAGTATTGTTGAAAGCCTGTTACAAACATTATTATATTGAACTAAGGTAGAATAGCTTGTCACCCCAGGCATTTAGACCACTTCTGGGTCTATTTTGTATCCCTGGTCTTGTTATGGTCCTTCAAAGAACCTGACTGCACTGCAACAACTAGAATTAACCCAAATGAGTCCCTCCTAATATCTATCAGCTATAGCAATACAGAGCCAAAGATCTCTAATCTATGTCCAGTTCATGTTCAGCAATGCTAGAGTACATGATAGGAGAAATCCTTCTCCAGCCCACATTTCCTACACTTGGCACTTTCTGAGAGGTCCATGAGTTGCAAGTATTATGAAAAGTTTCATAACAGGTGTCCTACCATCTTCACAGAACACAGAATTCCTACATGTATGCCAGACATCTTGTTTTGGTTTCAATTTATTTTTGGTTTGTTTTTAGCACTGGTTCTACAAAGCAGTTACTGTTCACCCATGCATATTAAACAGAATTAGTAGAGTTATAACCGGTATTGTACATTACCTGAAGAAACAGCCCTAATGATGGTGATATGTTCTTGGGAAACAGAAGGCAAAACACTCCACACATCTCCTAGACACAGAGCTGTTGCAGTCACTTCAGCAACACCTTGACAAATCAGCATCAAGCGGAATTTCTCCAAAGCTTCACCAGAGTTTAAAACCTTTAATATGGTTTGTTTTCCTTCATTTAAAGTTTCAACACGACCTTTCATCTCTAAAATAATTCCTCCTGAAATACATATCATATACATGAAACATCTCTCCCATAGCCGTTTAGTGGCAGCAGCCATTTGAATGGTGTCATACCCTGAGGACAGAGGAGATTTAGGCCACACATGTGTCTGTATCATGTGATGAAATTGAGGTCTGTACCACATGCAGAGATTGCCACCAAAGGGTTAAGCAAAATATGTTACTTCATTCAAATTATTTTACCAGCAACTGTAGCATAGTCAAAATCTGTTGTTACAAAGAAGTGAACTGCAGATCACACTTTCAGTCCATATATCCATCGTTGTCTTTGCTCCATGACTGCTGAATAGTGTTCTAGCTGTTTTTTAAAAATGTTAAGAAAATTATGTGAATTTTGGCTTGTAAATACTTGGCAGTTTCTTAATCAATTACATGTTACACACTGGTATTATACCACTGATTGTTATACAGATTCTTCCTATTAGTAACTAACAGGATTCATTTTTCTGTTATGTGCAAATAATGAATGGAAATTTTAAGTCATGTAAATAACTATACATAGAAGAGACTGACAAGAGAAATTAAGATGATTATAAACGTCCATTCATCTGTATTGTCATATGTAATAATGTCGATATGGATAGACACGTACTGATAAAATTTGGATGAAACATATACAATTTTGTCTCACAATTGACAACATGACTTTCTGCTTTCATAAGGAGACCTAAGTAAATCTGAGATGCATTTAAATAAATGCTGAATGAGCTGAAAAATTATTCAAGCAGATGCTGTAGCAACTAATGAGATTAATATTCTACAGTGGTACTTATTCACATAAGAAATATGATCTGTACAACTGCCATCAAATAATTGCATAAACTTTGTTAAAGTACCCATATGAAATAAACATATTTGTAACATGATTTTGCCAGTCATGTTTAGATGTACTCACTACACTCTATCAAAGAAATTTAATCAACTAAATAACAATCAGAATTCTGGTACAAGACATACATAAAGAATTTCTTACTCACCGAGAGTTGTGACAAGTTCAACAATATCATGAGGGCCATTCCCCTTTAAGCAGTCTATTGCCTCAGCCACTTCTAGGGAATTACCCACAGCTCGACCAAGAGGAGTATCCATGTTTGTGAGAGCACAACGTGTTTGAACACCTAAACCAGCTGACACATTTATCTACAAATCATTGAATGAGTACTTCAAAATTGGAAACAATAACTTTCTATAAGAAATTCAACATACCAAAAATTACAATTTCTTTACCGAAGTATCATATCTATTAAAACATTCTCTTACACTTTACATTGTATGATATTATGCATTCTAGCTAAATGTGTCAAATATGGCATTGTATAACCCAGGTTTAATTCGTATAATTTTAAATTATGCAATTTAACTTCGTGATTAAATACTGAGATACTGTCACAATTTATAAACTAATTCTCCTGTATGTAAACAACCAAATATGTTATGAAACTGTCTGAAAATCATGGTTTTGTAACTCTTAAATATTTAAGAAATAAAAGGTATAACAAAAAGAAATTTCAGTGATCAACTAACAAATCAAACCAAATTAAGAATACACAACAGAAGAAAAGAAGACCACTCTAACAATATTCAGCGAAGCATACAAATTATGAAGCTACACATTAAGTAATTTTCTCAGTGTTGTACTATCATCTACGGTAATTTTAAGAAGCAACATTTTTAGAAAGAACTCTTTAGACTGACAGGTTAACTCACAAGCATTGAAGCCAAATTACGAGCTTGAGTTTCATCTTTGAAGAACGCAGCAGATCCAACTTTGACATCCATTATTAGTGTCTTTGTTCCTTCTGCAACTTTCTTAGAAATAATGGAGGCTGAGAAGTCAAAGTGAAAATTATAAATATTAAAACAAAATAAAGTTTGTAAGACTTGAGGTTCTCACAGCGGTGAATATGAAGATTTCTGTCTTCTGGGTTATTGCGCTGTGTAGTCTGGTCGATGTTAACCAACGTTTCAGAGGTCATACTGCCTCCGTCATCAGGGCGATGAAT